AGTAACCTGTAACTATACTGTTGCACTCAATGCTGAAGATTTTTGTACTTATTTTGTTTTAGGGTTACTATCTTGCATCATCTCGAGAGTTAACTCGACTCGATTCAATCACGAAAGCTCCTGTAATCCATCATTTCTCAGAGAGCATATCTGGGGTCATGACAATTCGCTCTTTCAGAATGCAAAACATGTTCTGCAAGGAAAATGTTAAACGAGTTAATGCCAACTTGCGTATGGATTTCCACAACAATGGTTCCAATGAGTGGTTGGGTTTCCGATTGGAGATACTTGGGAGTTTACTTCTCTGCATTTCCACTATATTCATGATCTTGTTGCCAAGCAGTATTATAAAGCCAGGTATTTAAACCCTCCCGATCCTTCTTGTTTTAGTGCATAATTATTACAACGTCTGATTGAGTCTCGGTTATAAGCAAGATTTGAGGTGCACGTTAGCACTGTGTTTTGATATATCTAACATAACGAGCGACAGTAGACGAGTATCTATTGCAGAGATTTCACTAAACCGGTTTTTCCTTTATGGTGCAGAGAATGTTGGTTTAACTCTCTCCTACGGATTGTCCCTTAATGGTGTGCTGTTCTGGGCAATATATTTTAGCTGCTTCGTTGAAAATAGGATGGTATCGGTTGAGAGGATAAAACAGTTTACAAACATTCCATCAGAAGCAGCGTGGAAGATTGTGGACCGTGTTCCTCCTCCAAATTGGCCTTCCCGCGGCAACGTTGAGCTCAAAGACTTGCAGGTCAGTTTGTCTTCAGTTCAGTTTATAACATCCACTGTCTGAATGCGCGTTTTCCTTAGTTGGTCATCACCATTACTTTGTCTCAAGCTAAAAGGGCTCGGTTTCTTTTGATGATATTTTAAACTTTGTGGTGAGCAGGTCAGATATCGCCCAAATACACCTTTGGTTCTCAAAGGCATTAGTCTAAACATTTTCGGGGGTGAGAAGATTGGCGTTGTTGGTCGAACAGGAAGTGGGAAATCCACTTTAATCCAAGTTTTCTTTAGGCTGGTAGAACCTTCAGGAGGCAGAATTATCATCGATGGGATCGATATAACCATGATAGGGCTTCACGATCTCAGGTCTCGCTTTGGGATCATTCCTCAAGAACCTGTCCTTTTTGAAGGAACTGTGAGAAGCAACATTGATCCAATTGGAATGTATTCAGATGAAGAGATTTGGAAGGTAAACACAATGCTACGTCGAAAGTAATAAGATTGAATTATACAAAGTGTCTGTATGTCATCTCTTGCTAAGTTGAAACTATGCTGTATGCTTATTTGCAATGATCTAAATTTTCTTGTAGAGCCTCGAACGCTGCCAACTTAAAGACGTGGTTGCTGCAAAACCCGAAAAACTCAACTCTTTAGGTATGTGGCTCTCCGCATTGTTTACTCTCTGCGTCTTGAAACTGACACTTGATCACTAGGGTTATGTACTGACCAATTTTCATAAATTTTTTATCTTGATAGTGGCTGATAACGGAGACAATTGGAGCGTGGGACAAAGACAACTCCTCTGCTTGGGGCGAGTTATGTTAAAGCACAGCCGGCTCTTGTTCATGGACGAGGCCACTGCATCAGTGGATTCACAGACCGATGCTGTAATACAAAGGATCATCCGAGAGGATTTCGCTGCCTGTACGATTATCAGCATTGCGCACAGAATACCTACAGTGATGGACTGCAATCGAGTTTTAGTAGTAGATGCAGGTAAGTGCTCCCTCTAACTTAATATCTTGTCACATCCGGCATTCATTTACCACCCGAAAATTGTAGCCGACACTCTTCTGTTTCTGTCTTTAACAGGACTGGCTAAGGAATTTGAGAAACCATCCCGCTTACTTGAAAGACCGTCACTGTTCGGTGCGTTGGTTCAGGAGTACGCCAACCGGTCGTCAGGACTATAACCAGCACTGGAAGTCTACATCTCTCGTTTCCTCATCGTTGCTTCGGGTGGTGATTCCATTTACGCTTGCGAATTGTCCAGTGAATCACTGCTTGCATCTGTCCTCGAAGAATAGCAACAGCCGGAGCATAAAAGGCGTCGGCTCTAATCATTTTCTCCGAGAAAATAAAACAAATGATGAACAACAAGAACAAGCGTAGCCTACCACTGCAGGAAGTAGCTAATTTGGTAGGGTTACCAGGTTCATTTGTGTAGCCTGTTTAGGATGTATTTAGATTAGAAAATCATGCTTAAAGTTTCTTGTTGCACAAGATTTATCAAGATGCTTCTTGAGAAATTTAATTATATTGATCCTGGAAATTTCAGATACTCAAAATTTGTGCATGCAGTCTCATCATTTTCCAGTTTCTACTTAGTTGGGTCCTTTTTGTTGGTAGGATTAGGATGAGTCTTTGTACGACGAAAATGACACGTTTTATAAATGGGGTTTTATAAAAATTGAAAAAATTGATCAAATATCGTGAGTTAACATAAGTTTACGGTTTTGCGAAAACCTTAGCTGATAATTTATCGTATACACGCGAAGGAAGCAAAATGTTGTACGTTATTTTGAAACATTCTCATTGTTTGTTTTATTTTGTAAGTATTTAAAAAAAAAAATTAGGTTGAAAAATACAAAAATCAAGAGATAGAAAATACTAGCATGTCTTGGAAGTGCCCTTTTGAGGGCCGAAAAATCTCGAAAATTTTCTGAATGATGCAACAATGGTATGAAATCGATGTATTTTGAAAAAAAATTAGAATCAATTAAAAATAATGAGTGTTAGCTTGTAAATTATGTGAGAAATACTACCGTTGAGTTTTTGCATACTTTTTTGTGAGAACATTAGAAAAAAGGAAAACTAATGAAAATGATTTGAAAATTTTGAGTTTTAATCAAAATGACAAAAAAGTATTGTAAGTGAATAATATCATGAATGACTTTTTGAAGTAAAAATATTCTTTTTCATTAATTAACTCTTTGTTTTAAATAAAAAAAAATTTCAAGGCAAAGTGGGGTCATTATAAAACGCAGCGTCTAAGGTGCATAAAAACGGAGCGTTTAGGTCAAAGTTAGCTTCGCTACTCTTAAAACCCCGGGAAACATAAACCCTTCATCCCGCCGTAAAACAGAGACTCGCAGAGCGGCGGGGGGAGAGAGAGAGAGAGAGAGAGAGAGAGAGAGAGAGAGAGATGGGAAGGTCAAGAAGAAAGTACAAGCAGTCGCGGACGAAGGTGCGCGTGGGGCTGCCGAAGAGGAAGCCCAACGTATTCAAGCCTGCCTTCTGCCTCCCTCCGAAGCTCCGCGCCATGCTGGAGCAGCAAGGCCCAGCCTCAGCCCCCCGATGGGACGCCGAGGGCTCCGTCATCCAAAACTACAAGTCCTTCGGCTTCGTCTCCAACCCTAACTTGCTCAGCCTCCGGTCTCGCAATTCTCACATGGTCGAGAGCGATTCCCTCCAGGTCCCCCCTCCGCCCTCCGATGACCCTGACGCCTCCGCAGAGCTCGATTTCGCCGACGGCAGCGATCTCGAAGAGGACGGTGAGTTCTCTCTCCCCCCCCTCTCTCTCTACTCTGTTTTCGAATTAGGAATTGAGAATTTATGATTTTTTTGCTAAAATGAGTAATTTGAGGATTGGGGTTCTTCTATATTGATTGAATAACTGATTGAAATCATATTGCAAATGGGTTTATTTGAAAGATTGCTTTTTTAGGATAAAGATTTCTACTGGAGGTTGAGCAGTGTTCGTGTTTCCGAATTAGAATTGGTAAATAATCCAAACCGTTTACTGGTTTATCAGAATCCAAAAGTTCCTGCAAAAATGGTTGTAGTAACCTTTAGAATTGCAGGCTAACAACAGAGGTAAAAGATTCAGATGGAACCTGTAATCTCATGCCTATTCTCCATATTCGTTTTTCGACCTTTTTCATATCCAAGCTGGATTCTTCTATGAGATTTCAGTTTGTTGTGCTTTCTTGAAGTTCTTGCTCCAGATCAGTATTTGAGTAAGCTGAATCTTGAAAATTTAATTGCTTAGTCAGATACTTATATTTCATTGATTACTTCAGTTTCTTACTTCGAAAGCCTATAAGCTCAAAAAGTTTGGCTTTGGTGGGAACTGGGAGCCTCTTTAAGCTGGCTAGTTTGTTGGTTTACAAACTTCTAGAAGGTAATTCATTGGTGCTGCAATTGACTGCTGTATAAAGACCCTCAGAATGTAATAATGTAGAGGCTTAACTGGATTGCGAAGACGGAGATTTTCTGTTGTTCGCTCTAAGAAATGAGCTGTGTTAGTTTGTGAAAACCAGTACTCGTAGATCTACTGCTTTTTTGAATTGCATATAGCATTTGTTGTGGAGCTTCTTGGGTCTTTTATTTTCTTCTCTCTCCAAATTGGGAAATCGAAATGTTGATCATTTCTGGAGTTCATTGCTATTTCTAATCGCACGACTTTCTTTGGTCATGTAGATTTGAAAACTAGTCTAGGGAAGAAACGTAGAGATGGAAAATCTGCACCACTACAACCATTAACGGCCATGCAGCGTCTTCATCTTGGTCGGCTCATTGAGGAGTATGGTGATGACTATCAGGTGTGGCACAAGCTCGTGTCATGTTAGAAATTTAAGTTTGTAAGGTCGCTTTCTTTCTCCTTAATGTGGGTTCTTGTTGCTTTTGCAGAGAATGTTCATGGATACGAAACTAAATGCAATGCAGCATTCTGTCGCAACTTTGGAGAAATTATGCAGACGGTATCATGTGCATAAAGATAGAAATCCCTTGATATTGACCCATTGAGGAATATGCTCGATCTTACATGGTGGGCGACCTCATCAGCATCCTTCCGGAACGAATGTGATCTCGTTTCCTTTATAATATGTTGTATGCTTTTGACTTGTAATATAAACTTTGGCTGATGAATGATTACTTGTTCGAAGGAAAAGTTGAGTTACGGAACAATGCGATAAACAGAAACTGTATGGTGAACAAAAAGTACTGAAGGCTTCCATACATGACAAAACTTATCATTACATATTGCACAGCGGAAACTTGAAAACGAATTCAACTTGCACCTCCAGCCATGATTGTTCAACAAGCCTCTACTTCTTAACTGCAAGCTGAAAACCCCTCAGCCGAAATTAATATCCGCTTGCGTGCCGTTGAGATCGATGAAAGGCGCATGCTTAAATCATAGGCAAAGGCCAGGAACCCCTTCCATGGGAATCCCCTTATCTTGTTCGAGCACTAGTCCTCGTCATGTACGACATCCATTTTATAATCCTTTCCCGTCTTTGTTTCTGCAAGTAGTACATAAGGGTGGCTACCAAGCATATGAAGCCACAGGTTACACAGGCCAAAATTCCAAGCCATCGGGTACCCTTGGGAAGCATCGCAAACAAGGCCGAAGCAAACGCTATGTTCATTCCAATAACAGAATAATGAATTAAAATTGGCCGCACACCTTGTAAGTTTATAGCTAAATTAGCTGTAATTAAATGAACAAGCACCACAAATATTGAGAGAATGAAGGAAAGGGAGTCGAACAACAGAAAAACTTGAAATGATGCCTTGTCTTGTAAAACCGGTGTTCCATCATCTTTCAGTCCTCCGGGCATGGTGAAAGCTGCAGTGAAAGTGACAGTTGCAATAAGCGTCGCTATGAGTAGATTCGTATCAAACTTTTTCCACAACTCTTCATCTGTATCTTCTAGCGGCTTTTCTTTCTTGTCTGCAATGGCCGGTTCACTAGACCTCTCCTTCTCTGTAGGTTCCAATTCTATGATATGATGAAGGATATGCTCTTGAAGAAATGGCATGCCAATGGATTTCACAGGGCCGATCAGTTCACAGCGAGGATCAATGCTAGTATCGAAAACCTAAAACGTGGAGATAAAGTTATAGTGAGCATATGCAATGAAATTTGTTTTTTATTTTACTTTTTTGTGTTGTGGTATTCTGGTATTTTCTGTGTTGGGGTCTATGATTGCTAATTTCCTGTTTGTTCATAATTAGGTCTTTACAAATTTACCCTATAACTTAATAGAAGAACGAAGTTTTGGTAAGATGTAGTCTTTTTGTGTTATGTAGCAGTCTTATTAACAATCCGTAGTAAGAGTTATAGTTTGAAATTAGTTTGTTCTTCGTTTTCCTTCCTTTGATGTGTTGTTGTGATGATCATTGAGCAATGTACGTAGAAATACCTGTGTAAAATTGTCATGATCTTGAAGCAAAATGTCGAAAGCTGTGTATAATTTACCATTCAGAGCAGACTTGTTCACTCTGGGATCGTTTGTCAAAATTTCTCGAAGTCCATCTTCTTTGTAAATGGCAGACAGATGCAAGGGAGTGTTTCCATCTGCGTCCGCTTCATCTATGAGTCCTGCAAACTTCGGCGTCTTCAATATGTACTCGACAACAGATTTTTGTCCACCTAAAACTGCAGCATGAAGAACCGTTTGGCCTTTGTGATTGAGCAAATCACAAGTATCAGGCCGGCATCGAATCACCTCCTCCATGATACTGGTGTGGCCTGCATACGCCGCGACATGTAGAGCTGACATTCCAGATTTATCAAGAATGTATGAGGCCGAACTGTCAGCTTGCAGCAATATTGACACTGCTCCAGAGTTGCCCCACAAAGCTGCATAGTGCAAGGGAGTCCACCCAAGTGTGTCAACTTCTTTCATCATCCCAGGATTTTTGGACACCATTATCTTCACAAGCCCTAGCATGCATTGCATGTTGATACATATAAATAGGTATGAAAATTAGACATGAAGATAAATTAAAGGTATGAAAATTAGGTACTAGAAACTACAAGAACCAAACAATTTGATGAAAATAAAAAATAAGGTTCTATTGTCAGGTCCAATCGAGTGAAGACACGTAAGTCATTTCTTAAAGCACCTCAAATCTACTTTTAATTACTTGTTCTCAACTATTGCACTACCTCTCTCTTACCATGAGGATCAGACACACTTATTTCACTAGCCTTCAGTCCTTGGTGTTGGTCAACTTGCACTTTGTCCATAAGTTGATCACCAAAACCTGCACAAACAGTAACACTACCATTCTCAGTCATGAATAATTTGATTTCCTGCTATGAATTGATCAACTTCCACTTTATCCTACATTGAACTTGTGGAGCATTGAAAATAATAATAATAATTATTATTAAATTAATATTGTTTTGGCCTCAATAGTTAATTTCATGTTAGAGCAAACAAGTTATTTCATATTAAAAATGTACATAATGCCTTTAATAGATCGAGTGTGACAATATAATTACTCTTAAGAATAATAAAATGTAAGCATCCTAACTTAAAACTAATTGGCAGGTTGACAACACATGTAAGTACGTACTAATCACTCTAAGAATAATAGGACGTGAGCATCCAAACTCTAAACCATGATTGACAATTTCGCAAGTTCATAGTACTACATATTAAGTACGGAAAGATAGTCTACTCTAATACCATAATACAATGTGATAGCATTAAACCCAAAAAAGCCAAAACCAACTCACTTGCGTAAGCACAAAATAAGAGGGAGTGAGCAGTACCCGTACGAGCTGCCGCAACATGCAAAGATGTGAGACCATTGGTTCCCTGAAAAGAAGGAGATGTTGGACACTGGTTTAGAATAGAACAAGCTATGGGTGGAAACCAGTGGAGGGTAGCTAGGAACAATGGTGACTCGTTAGCGCTATTAGTGAAACAACACAATTGAGGATCGGATTCCATTAACAGAAGCACCACTTGATGGTGACCTGACCGGACGGCAACATGCATGGCTGTATCCTTTTGCAAATTAGTCATTTGGAGCAGTTGTTGTCGTCCGATCGGGTCAACCTTATCAGCTGGTGGCACTAGTCCACTTTCCTCATCAGCTCCTTCGAGGCTTAGCGATGTAGCTGTTGTGGCGTTTTGGATGAGTAGCTTGACTATTTCGACACAGCCTACTCTTGAAGCAACGTGCAGTGGAGTGTTACCCTTCTTGTTGGGAGCCCAAAACAGTTTACCATATCGATCTGGATCGACAATTTTGAAGAAATCTATTTGCTTTGATTCGGCGGAGATATGAAGAATGTTGTTGTCTTTAGGCGTTTTCTGATGGAGGAGAAGATCAATTGATGATACACCACCATTTTTACTGTTGATTTTGTCTCTCAAAAAACCAACATCACCCGATGTTGCTGCTTCATACAGGAAAGGATCCATGGCTATGTAGCTCTCTCTCTCTCTCTCACTCAACTTTAACCAAGTAACGGGAAAATTGCCAATTAGTCCCCGGCCGTACGTGATTGGAATCTCATGAAAGTTCTGGCTTGTTGCTTTGTGTTATGTATGGACTAGAGTCCTCTTCCTCTCAATACCTATCCTTTTTGTCTACTTGTTCGTTCTTGTACTGTTGTTCAAATCCGTGTATGGACTTAAGCCCTTTTCTTGTCAATTCCTATCCTTGCATGTGTCCGCTTGTTCAAATGCATTACTGCAGAATTTTTATGTCATTGTATGTGTGAAAACTTTTGTGTTTCATGGCCTTAAAGTGATTTTTGGAAGCAAAAATGTATATTGTTGTGATATGGCTCGTCAAAATATCAAGGCCAATTAGGTTTAAGTTTTCAATTGGTGTTGGGAAAAGAGAAAAGGAATGTGCACTGGTTATTTTCCATAACAATTGGGAAATAGGTTCTTCTTTATAATCCCAATCAGTTTAAGATTAGGAAATAAGTTAGCTTTACCTATTCTGAAAGGATTCAAGAATCCTATATTTGTAAGTCATGTAACAATCAGTCTATCTACTAAAATAGGCTTGTTGGGGCTGATTATTCAAACGAACAGTATATAAAATACAGGGGTAGAAGGCCAAGAGTGATAGAGAGATCTAAAGTGAGGTTTTGGGGTTTAGTCGTAACCGAGTTGCTATTCTCCACAGTGCAGGTGATTTCTCAAGAAAGATCACATGAGAAGTAGCCAAAGTTCGCCAAACCTGGCTAAATTCTTTGTGTTTGTGTGTGGCGTGTGTACCTTGTTGTTCTTATGTCCGCATAACATCATCTTATAAGTTTGCATATATCAATAAACAAGACTGATTAAGGGAGATTAAATCAACATTGCAATGTTCTTGTACTCATCTTTCAAGACCACATTTAAGCTTCTCGCGGATGATTTCAATAGTGTGAATTGTGAAGCTCCTCGTGCATAAGTTCCTTCCAACCCGTTATGCCAATTTGGAACCTCTTCAAGTTGGGGTTCGAAAGCAACCAGATTTTCAGCGCATTTATATATGGGAAATTTTATTTAGACCCATGTAACATCTTTTTACATCCAACTTAAATTTTAAATGTTAATTGTCTATTTTACCCATTTGCATAATTACTATTAAGTACAAAATGAAATTAATAATAAAACTCAAAATTGTCGATAAATCACTCTTTGTTTATCCTACATTAATTCCGGCTAAAACCCTAATAGATCTCATAGAGAAACACAAGTTTTTTTTATTGTTGGACTGTGATTTTGAAGTTTTGAATCCTCCAATTTATCCTACGTTTATCAAAATACCAATGCACCAATATTAATTCCAGCTTTACTAGCTAAACAACAGCCAATGGCATCGAACGATCGAAACTCCCACGAAAAGCTCTAGATTGACTCGATTTCTTCTTCTTCATTCTTCCTTTGATGATATCCTCCTCTAGTCCCATGGATTTTTTTCCCAAATGAAACTGAGGCATGGGTCAAGATATGTGGCATATTACTATTGTCTTTTGTTGCACCTCTCTGAATAAGTATCCTAGTAATCCCAACGTAGTGCAAAGACTCAGCAATCTACAGTGCAATCACACCTTTATTAGTTCGAGCTTCAGCATCATCTCCTTTCTTTACCAACATCTCAATCACATCCGCGGTGTATCCATCCTCATCTTTAGCATCCATATCTACACCTCAGACAGCGTTTGAATGACTTCTATCTTCCCTTTTGAAACAGGCTCTATGGAGAGCAGTCCACCCATGTGGGTCTCTTCCATTGATTGCGGCAGCTGACATTGAAGAAGTCACCAGTGTTTTCTCCAGATTCTTGCACAAACCACGTGTTCAAGGAGCCATAAGGTTTATTTTATTTAAGCTATTCATATCTCATGTATGCATACACGATTGAAGACTGGTGACATATGCATACGTGGTCTGCAAGAAATCGTCTAGGATGCATGTGGGAATGGTTTATGACAGAACATTGATGTTGAAGTTTGGTTTTTATGGCAGTTATGAGTCACATTACTGGAGAGGCCTTGCAGAAAGATGCATCCAAGTAGCATGGATATACAGGAAAAAACACCTACAGCGAGCCGACACCTCTCATTCTCAATCTCATTCTCAACCCCAATCTTGATCCCAATCCAATCATGCATTGTTATAAGCTAATTAGCATATGGATGTAAAGATAATTTTACATTTTGAATTGAGTTTGAGATGGTAGTTTAGGTAATAAATTTGGGTTTAAAGAGATATTAGTTCTTTAATAAAAAATAATATGGGTGAAGAGGATAAGTTAGGTGTAAAAAGAGGTTAGATGAGTTCAAATAAAATTTCCCTTTATATATTTGGGGAAGAAAAAAATTCACCATGATATGTACCAAGAGATGAATGGGGGTGGCTGAAGCCCAACTCATGACCCAAATAACTCATCAACCCTCCGGTTTGGAGGTTTCACTTGGGTTCCTTGGAGCACAAGCTGCAACTTCGGAACTATAAATGTACGTGTATGCTGTTCCCAACCAGCAGAATCAAACACATTCTTCCAGGGTGCGAGAACCGTATAAGCTGATCCATCGCTCAGGTGCCATTCGCCAAAAACATTACTCAACTTGAAATGTAAGGTGGGACACAAATCCTCTAACTTGTGTCCCAAGTATGGTAGCCATGGACGCAACCACACGTGACCAGGAATAGTGTCTTCACGCAGTTCCACAAATCAAAGGTATCCTTGAGTTTAGGCAAGACTACCGTACATGGCTTCAAGAACATGAGGGGGCGGCAAATTCTCCCAAGACTTCAAAAACCGAAGCATTGGTTCGGGGTCCTTGCCCTGCCAAGTATTGACAGCAGCAATTCTCACTGCAGCTACCACAACCTCCGAAAGCAATTGAACGCAATTCCCCGGCTCTCCACGAAGAAAAGCTTGCCAAGACGATATGCGTCCAAGCCATGCATGGGATTCCAAAGAGGATCCCACCCCTGAAATAATAGAGTCGCTATTTGGAGACTCTAAAACCTAATGTAGCTGGATATCATATATAGTTGGGCAGCAAAGTGATCAATAAATATGATACAAATAGCATTACAAATTATAATCGCACCCTCGGATACTTTGTAGCAAGGTTCAAGGAGCCAGGATGCACTTGACCATAATCCAAAAATGCAAATTTACATGAACCAAATGTTTAAGTCCCAAAACTTTGAAGACCATATGTTATTCAAAAGCTATATACAAGAAGCTAAACATCCAGAAACAAGAAGTTAATGGCTTTCCAAACTACAAAATAGTTGGCGGGTTACAAAGCCCCAACCGTGGGGCAGCTACTAAGGGTCAATGAATGCCCGGCACTGGGATTCCCAGTGCTGCTTTGCTTGCCGAACCCTCTCTACCCTCTCGGTCTGGAGTCTCTGCTCCCAGTATTCACGGCAGCTGTTAAAACATGAATAAATAAGAATGAGAAATTGCATGTATAGGATGATCATTTACTCATAAGGATTCTAAGTGAGAATATGCTGAACAAAAACATACTTTCGGCTAAGTAACATATTAAGCTCTTCTAAATGTACAGCGCCTTCAAAAACTCTCGCCTGAAATCAACACGAACAATCACAAAACGGTGAGCAACAATAATTTTGATTGTAGCGATGCAGCTCATTCTCCAGGTCCTAAAAGATTACAGCTCTACAAAACTCCAATTAGAAAGAAGATAATTACTCACCTCTCGGCATAGAGGGCATTTTTCTTTAGGTTCTGCAGACTTTAATCTATCGACAATAGTCACTGATGCAGCTGAGCAAGCACACATGTAGCAGAATATATGACCGCATGTAAGAGCAACTGGATCAAAAACCGTGTCCTATAAAACGGAAGAAAAAAATAAATCACACGAAACCTCAAATGAAGCGCAACAATAGCAACATGCTTTCTTCCCAGCAACTCCTACTAATGCCTTGGTATTGCTACACTACAGCTACTGAGGGTTTACGTTTTAGTTGAGCTAATCAAAATTGTACGTCACATTGTTTGCAGTTTGTGGGAAAAAATGTCAAGTGTTATGCACTAGTCATATGTGCTCCTACATCATAAGAGGCATGAAATATGCAATTAAACTATTGAAGAGCGAGAGTGATATTGTAAGAGCACAACAACATTCATATCAATTTTCAAAACCTCTTATTCAAGACTTGAATTCACAGGTAGGATAAAACGCTGTGTAGTGTTAACATAGTAACAGCACAAATACGCAGTCAATAATCCGTTATATGGAAATCTTGATACTTACCAAGCATATAGAACAAGTCAAATCAATATCAAGCTTAACGGAATCAAAGAGCTCACAGGCGAGAGATGGTTTCTCATCATTAATCTTGAGGGAGCATCCCTCAAACAAAGCCGGTGCCTTCCTCGACTTAGTCTTGGTTTCCCTCAAATTGATGTGAAAAGCCATAAGCTCAAAAAGCCATGGGCTCTGAAGGAGTCCAATGTGCATACTTTGAGCTTGCGACTTAAAGGCCTGTCCTTGTGTGGAGTAATGAATCTGTTCCCATAACACAAACGAAAATTATAAACATATATATTTAACTGGATTACCGAAACTTTCGGTGAACGCACTATCAATTTTGAGCAGTTGGATTCACATACCTTATCATATTTCTTGAGTATTTTCCGAATGGCAATGGCGTTGATCAGAGCATAAGTCACAAGGTCCTTGCCTTCTTCTATTAAGGCACCATGGCCCCCTCGACGTTTGCCTTTGACCCAAAACATGTACTTTCGAAAGCCAGAAGCCAGATGGAGTTCAAGCAATTTCTGTGCACGCTTATGAAAGAAACCCACCACAGCAGACATCTCATCGAGAAGGGCCGGGAAAAAGCTCCCATCACACACTGCCAAAATTCAATCAAATCAGCATAAACTCCGTTGACAGGCACAAAAATTAATATCACTGAGGATTCAGTAACCTTCAAAATTAGTAGATAAAACA